GTCTGTTTGGATTTCATTAATGAAAATAAAAAGTGATTTAAAAATAACAAATACAACAACAACGACGACCACTGAAATTTTGAATGAAAATTTGAAAATGAGGTTTGGTTGTGTAAGAATATTAGTAGAAAGAATTTTGTTGTAAAGTTTATATCATTTTATTTTATTCTGAAGAGTTAAAAATCAGTTTGTTGCATGCATGTTGGTACATTTGAATGAGTAGCAGAAAAGTTGTACTTGTTTTAAGAAAGGACTTCAAAGAAATTACTGCCTAAGAGGATATCAAGTCTCACTAAGAGATATCTGCTATCTGCCTAGAAAGGTATTCAAAATGTACCTTTTTGTATCAAAAATTTAATAGTTTTTTTTAAAAAAATCCTGCTTTGTGGTCAATAAAAATACGCATCAACAACACGCTTTTTGATGCCCAAAACGCTGGAAATCGCATTTCCGAGCTTCTAGATTTCAAATTTTTCTGGGGGAGCATGCCCCAGAAAAATTTGAAATCTAGAAGCTCGGAAATGCGATTTCCAGCGTTTTGGGCATCAAAAAGCGTGTTGTTGATGCGTATTTTTATTGACCACAAAGCAGGATTTTTTTTAAAAAAACTTACGGCCCCTTTAGTGGTCACAGCCGCCTATTAAACCCTCAGTGGCCGCTTATAACTAATGTTATTGAAACCCCTGTATAAGGAACTAAACTTTGCTGGATATTGTAGCAGTTTGACGATGTATTACATAATCGTATTGCCGTTAATTAATTTTTCTAGGTTCTTAGATGAGGTTGGTTCTATTCGGTTAGCTACAGTTAGTGGGCGTTAGGCATCATTCAAACATTAGCGTAATAGTTGTTTTCCAAGACAATTACCCCCTCTCTTTCAGATGGATTGTCTTTTCTCGTGGCAGTCTATTGACTTGTTTTTAGGTTTCTTTTCTGGTACTGGTCGTAGTTTGATTTGGGGGGTTGACAATGTCGTTGAGGTTATTCAGATTTGTTCTTATTTTATGGCGAGTGAGCGTTTTCTTTCTGAAGTGTTTCGCTGTACTTTTCCGCCAAATTATTGTCTTTCGTTTAGGGAAAACCAGTTCCTAGAGGTGTTGTTTGCTTTGAAGTTGTCAGGCTATCTGTGTCTGGCACGAGACCTTATGTTTTGTGCGTCGAACGAATAGGAAGAAAGTTTTGTTTTTGAAGATTTAATGTTGGCACCAAATCTTGCTTGCCTTCGTTGTTTAGTTGATGATCGTTTAAGGAATTTGGAGCAAGACTGAGTTCTCGTTCGAGCTTCCTTTTTAATTTTGTTATAGTTGTTTTTGTTAACTTTCTAGGTTAAATGGATGCTTGGCGTGTCATTCATAGACTAGCCAAATGGATTTGTATAAAGTGCTTTAAGACGAAGGCATCCGTAATCTTTGATTGGGTCATGCGACCACCTGATTTGCATTGATTGTTTAAAAAAACACGCAGAAGAACTTAAAGTGATGTTTAAATGTGGTTGTGTCGCTGAGTTCTCTCAAAGTGCTTATGACTATTTAGTGACTCATTCCGCTTCGGCTCAAGATGCAGCCAAAGATCTCAGTTAAAACCTCGCTGGGCTATGGGTATTAGCTAATGGCGATTTGTGGATTATTTGCTGAACCTGAAGGTCGCCCGTTTGTTAATTAGGGGTCGACTTTATTTTTCATAACATAAGTTTATAAATGTTTGGCGATTTTTGACCTCAGCAAAAACTGATTTGGACTCTCGACTCGACACGGCCCGAAATCTGTTCTAGGACTGTCGTTCGCAACCGTGGTGAATGTGGCTTTCCGGGACTCTTTGTGACTGCAAGGCAAGTTTTCTTTCTCTTTTTTGAAAGAGGGATTATTTAAATCGCCTTTTTAAAGGGGAGTCACAACTCATGAAGATAGAGTAACAATTTCAAAGAAAAACAGTGGGAGATTGAAACGTGTTTCGAAAAGAAACATTTTGTGTGATGTAGGTGGCGTTAATTCTGGTCCCTAGGCGTTCTCTCTTGCCCCGTTGTCCGCGCGAAGTCTGGGAAAGAGCGGGCGAGAGAACTTCTTGGCGTGTATCTCTCGGTGACGTCACAGCTCACGGTAGAGTCCAGGATTGACCGAGCCGAGAACGCCTAGGAACTAGGCTGGGTGGCGTTAATTCTGGTCCCGGAGGCGTGTGTTTTCCCGCCATTGTCACAGCCTTTCATGTGTTGTTTTGTTGGGAAAAAATTTCCATGTGTGGAATTAAATGAAGTTCAAAAGAAGAGATACATATAATTGAGGCTCCTTGGCTTGATTTATTTTCGTATACATGGTTCGTACAATCTTAAAAAGGTCTTGAATTGTAATACTGGTCGTCTTGAAAAGTCCTTGAATTCGGTTAAGGTGGCCCGTTCCTATTTATACGCGTGTTGGTTATGTTTTTGATTTGCGTTTTTCAGAATGAAAGATTCAACCGATTTCTACGATTTTTTGCATCCTTAATAAATAATGATGGAACTTTAAGAAAATATTATTTATTTTCTTATAGGTTTAAAAACTTTTGAGATATCGGCATATATTTAAAACCTCATTTTACGAAAAATGGAAATAAGTTCAAAATCCCACGACAGATTTTTCCCTAACTTCAGCAAATAAGCCTCAGAGCTCTCTAGTTTTATGTCTGCAAGTTTGAAGGCAATCGTGACCGTAGAAATCGCTCCACAAAATGTTGGTCAAATTTAATGCTAACTTAAATTTAGGCTAACACATTTGTGAACGTAAACGCACAAAAAGTGGAAGAGAGCTGACAAACTACCTCTTAACTGAAACGTTGTTCCTACCCAAAGGATTGTTGGAAGAAAATGAGTAATCGGACAACTACGGCTTAATACAACCAACTTTCTGCTACATGTGCGTTGAAATTAAATATATTCTATTTACCCAACTTACTCTGCATATGTCCGTTCATTTTCGACAAAAATATTTGTCAAACTTACTCAAATGAAATGGAAAGCGTTAGCCTGTGTAGCCTGCATCAGGATCTTGAGACAATGCAGCTTCTTCTCGTATTAAAAGGGGGTTAATACACATACCTAGTGGTCATTTTCTTGAATTGATCGCAACTGGAATATTTTATGGCTTTTTAAATATTTCCAAATTTTTAAGGCTTTTACGCGAGCAAAATATTGTCAGATTTCAAAGGCCTAAAATCACATCCGATACATGATTTCTAACAGAAAAAGACATTCCACGTTAAAAAGTAATCTCTAAGCTTTCAAAATATGCTTTCAAAACTCTGGGCTACTTGTGAAATGAATTTTTCGGAACGTAAAATTCACAGAGGACTTGAGAGTAATTTGACCTTTCTGACTCGACAGTAAGAGGTTCGGCGCGACACAAATCATTCCTCCAACAAATGTTTCAGCCAAAATACGTTTAATTTAGGCAATCTCAAGTCCCACAGTGATACACAGATGCTTCATATACATTAGGTGGAAAGTTCCATGCCATTTTGTCAGCCGTAAAGAACTATTTCTCTGGCCTTCGGGTGCAGTAGTTGAACTCGCCTCGCTAATGTGAACATTTGGGTCAAGTTCTTATCAAGAAACAGCGAAGTTTTCAAAATCTACACCAACAATCTATCTTGTCCGGTAGATAATCAGGTCTACAATTTGTTTGTTTGTACCTTGTGTACATGTTTGACTTCATTCCCACAATGAAATCGAGACATGCAAACTACAGTACAACGACACTCCCGCTTGCTCGACAAGTCACGCGCAACTTGAAAGGGCCGTTCTAGACTCGATTGCCGTTACGCAAACACGACACCGACTTTTTTTTGAGTTCAAAAAAAAATCCATTTCTATCTTACATTTTGTAGATATGCCATTTGAATGAACCGACAATCTGAAGCTTTTTTTTTCTTTATTACCGTGTAGTTTTACCAGACTTGTCGGATTCCCGACGAAACCTAAGAAATCTTAGGATCGAAAATTAACCCCCCAAATTTTCAAGCCCTAATTTCTCCAAGCCTTGAATTTTTTCCGTGAAGGATCAATGTCAGGATCAGTAAATGTTTGTGGTTGGTTTATTTATCGTACCATTCGCTGAATTTTACTTTTTCTCATCTGACAGTCTGAACTGGGCGGCCAGCATTGTACGTGTGCGGTACTACACCAATCAGATTGTTTTGAATACCCTTTGAAATTCCTACTTAAATCAAGCTACCAAAAATGTCTATAGATATTTATATTTTCCAAATTTTCCTATCCCCAAAGAAATCCCGTGATGAAAAATTTCGAAACAAAAAAGCAAT